TACTACTGATTATCAAGAGGTGTTTAATTCAGTCTAAATTGCATTTTCGTGGATCTTGAATCCGCTAAAAAACTCTGTTAATGGTTCTTTTTCTTTTTCTTCTTTTCACTTAAGGAGATAGTGCGATAATCTATTCAACGAAAATTGTTCTTCAAAATCATGCAAATAAATTGAAAATCTTTTATCCTTATCAGTTGCCGATGAGACCTCAATAACTTCAAATTCTTGAAGGGTCGAAAAAATATCAGATATCTTGGATGCTCTTTACATATTTCGAATCACATCTAATGGATAAGCGAAAAAAAAAATATGAATTCGGATCACTTCAGATATGTATTCTTTCGTCTGACAAAACTCACAAATTGCCGCGAAATCGGCTTCAATGTTCACATCTATCTGGCTACTTGTCTACAAGTGGATAGAATCTCGTGATTGGATACATTTTCGCTTGAATACAATTTGCATTAAAGAAAACGTCTCTAGCCATATTCTTCGTCGCTCACCACATCATCTGGATCTGAATCTATAATTAATGGCATCAAAAGCGGGGAGGATCTATTAAAACCTGAAATGTAATATGACCAGAGAAGATTTTGATTAGGTGGCTTATCGATATACGCCTATCGATATAGATAGTAGAAAAAAGAATGTTTTCAGGTACTTTCGAATTGCATCGAGTCGAGAGGCTTAGAAACTTTATCACCAGTGGAACGAGCAAGAAGAAGAAGCTATTTTCTTTTTTTAAAAGCATTAATGAATAAATTTTGATGGAAGAAAGGAAAGAAGATTTGTATAAAGTGTTTATAGATAGATGGAAGGAACATATCAAAGCAGTGATAAAATTTCATGAAAAGCTTCTTCAAAATATTGTTATTGGTTGCCATATTATGCCATATTATTGGTTGATTTAATTTATGTAATTTTTTTTTGAACGAAAATAGTTTTCAATTAACAAAAAAATTGGTTTAAAAATTGTCTAAATTGTCTAGTGTAAATTTACTAAGTTATTCTTTCCAGTTATCTATTAGATTTTCTACAATTTTTCTATTTTTATTTTAAAACAAGGTTTTATATATATAAAATTATAGGTAATAAATTTATAGGTGATTGCCTAGAAATTGATTAGACTTATATTTCCATTTCATTTATTTGGTATAGCAAAATTCAAAAAAAATTCCATTGAACTATGATAAATTTCGTCTGAACATGTGATACATTGTCCTTTATTTCATTTGTGCATTCAACAGTTAACAGGCGTTTTTTTTTTTAACTTAGAATTTTTTTTCGTTTTATATCTCTTTCGACAAATTAAAGTTGTTAGACCTGCTATTATATATAGATTAATTTTAAGATGATTATTAAAGGATTTCGTGCATTCATTCTCATTTCTGCATTTATGATATCGCTTGATCCTTATGTCTCGCTTCATCAAGTTGGTACTTACCGTTTTTGATTCGCTCCATCAGCTGTTAGTATGGTTAGAAATTTTGTTAGGTAGGGTACAGTGGGCGATGGAAAAAGTGAATCGCCATCACCATCTTGATTTTTTAATGATAGGTTCACGTCTGTCGATTTGCTTCATTAAATTCATTAATTCATTAAATTCGTCAATACTTCTATTTCTTTGCGGTCCAGATCAAGAAAAAATTAAGAATGTTCATCATTTCCTCCAAATCACTTTAAATTTTTAAAATTTTAACTTCAAATTCTAAACATCTATCGTTTCATTGTATCAGAGCATTTCGATAAATTTGCTTATCCAATTATTATAAATGGCTGGTCTTAAGAACTCAACAGTTTAAAATTGATTCCATAAATAACTGGTTAGCATTGTTAAATAATTTTTATAATATAATTTTGCCTAATTTTGGCAAAAATATTCGCTGAAAAACCATTTTTTATAATGATTATTGATAAATTTTCTCATAAATTAGGAATTATAATCGAAGTAAAGAAATTAAAACATACTGAAGTAATATAAACCTTTTCATTATTGATTTGTCAGTTGTCGAATAGTTTTTGTCGAACAATTTTTTGTAACACATATTTGATAAGACATCAAGGAACAAATATTCTCTCTGTTATCAATTGTTTATCAATGCACGAATTAATAATTATCTTAATCGAATACGTTCCATCTTTATAAAACAATGAGAATTTCACTGAAATTTTTCTGAGACTTTTTTTCTATTAGTGATTTTTCATTATTTTTTTCTATCTTCTTAAAGATGAAATACTCTTAATTTTCTGGACATTGATGTCGATGCTGTTTTTTTCGGCGATTTAAAATTATAGGCGAATTTCAGCAATTTCTGAAAATAATTTGAAAATTGTCTTGGGATTTTTATTTAAATAATAAATTTTATTGATGATGGATCGATCTTTTGTGTTATAGATGAAACAAGTTCAAGATATGTTCTTAATGAGCTTCGAAAAACTCTAATTATTTTAATTTATTTTTATTTTCATTTTCTTATCCAAAATTTCCAGTTTTTTAAATTCCAATCCATAAGCCTAAGATTTTCCCACTTTCTTCATCTTCTAACAGTCTCACCATTACTTGTTCACCATTAGACTGGCTCCGCTGGCTATAAGGGTAAGACGTCTCCAAGTTCGACCGACGCCATCGGTAGTTGTAATAGAAGCCATTCCTTTTTCCATCGTTTAAATCCATAAATTGCTGGTCCACCTCTACGTTCAAAATTTTTCCTGACTGTATCAGTCCAAATCTTGACTGGCTCTCCTCGCTTTTGGCGCCAACCTTCACACGGTTTAGCAAATAACGAAATATGCGCCAACTTCTGTGGTGGATGACGAAGAATGTGCCAGCGAAGGCGACACTTTGTGATAACATTATTAATACAGGTGATATTTGAGCGAAGATATGCGATTTTATCCGCTCGACGATTCCGTAAAATGCACCTTAGACATGAGTGGTCAAAGGCAAATAGCCTTTAATATCTTCCACTCTCATATCTTCCACTTTCATTGGCCATGTTTCGCAGACATATAGCAAGATCGAGCGAATTGCGGCTATATGGACGCAGATTTTCGTCTTTATGGTGCTTTCGCGACGGTACCATACCATAAAGGCTCATCAACCGTAAAACATATTTCTAATTGTCTTTATCCGGGTTATAATTTCATCCTTTGTCTGGTCATTTTGGATTAGAGTGGATCCAAGGCATTTAAAGTCCTGAACTTAACCAGCAAAAAATTGATAAAAATAGGTATATAGGTATTTTACCAGCATTTTATATATAAGACGAAAAACTTTCGTTTTATTTACAATTTCCATTGATTTTGAGTACAATTCTCGCTGCACTTGTTGACACATTATTTGCATTTCCTCATAACTGTCAGCAAAAAGTCACTACATCACTACATCAGCGTATTCAAGGTTTGTGTGCTATGCTCTGGACTGATTTGCATATCTCTTGAGTGCCGATAAGCGATGCCCATTATCCGGTCTATCGCGTTGTTGAATATTGTAGGAGAAAGGATGCAGCCCTGATGGATACCATTTCTTATTTCTCAGAACGAGTCTGTCAGTTCCTCATATATGCAGACTTGCGCCAGGGTGATGCTGATAAAATACTTTCATGAGGCGAATGATCTTCTCTGAGACACCGTCATATTCCATTACTTTCCAGAGCGCTGCTCTATCAAGCGAATCAAGTACAGTTGCGGAATCGATAAAACAAGTGACGGGAGGGGGATGCTGATATTTGAAACGATGTTGCAGTACCCTTCTTAGTGTAAATATCTCGTCAGCACAACCTCGTCTGAATCCAGCTTGGTTAGGACCCATTCTGCTATGTCGTATTGCCATGAATCTGTTTAGCAGAAGAAGCGAAGCGAAAATTTTTCCTGAGATGTCCAGTAAATTGATTCCTCGGCAATTGTCGCAGTACATCCTGTCACCTTTCTTAAGAACTGGAAGTAGAATTGCTTTGCTCCAGTCTTCTGGTATTATTTCCTTTTGCCATAACAGAGAATAATTTATTGAAGGTGAGTTATGAACGATCATGGACAATATTTGAAGACTACCGGACAAGAGTTTGAGCCGAAGACCATCTTCTTTAGGAGTTTTATTGGCCTTAAGTTTATGGATTACAGAAATTATTTCCTTTTCTATTGGCAGTTGCAAACGTAAGGCTCGACGGGTAAATCACTTATATTCAGAACAACAGATGGCGCATCGTAGTTTGGTATCAAAAATTCTTTCCATCTTCTGAGGCGATCCTTGATAGCTTTAATAGGCACCCCATTAATATCGCGTATCATTTCACTGACTCCTTCTTGAGTTATAGTTGCTTTGTGGAAAAGGCGGAACAATTCCCTATTATCACCTATCCGAACCGCCTTCTCCATTCTTAAGGACATATCGCTCCAATAGCGATTTATATTCTGCATTGCTGCTGTCTTTGTAATTCTTCGAAACATCCGATAGTGCGAATCTCTTGATATTCGATTTTGGCAGCCTTTTCAGACAGTTGGACAGTCGCATCCGACTCCCAACTAGCCCACCTTCCACTAGTATATCCTAGTGTGGAAGTGGCTGACTTTTGTAGGCATGTTTTTAGTTGGGACCAGTATTCATTCGCCTTTCCATAGACATCACTATCCTTTATTTCACTGAGGTGTTTCAATAATGCGATTTGAAATGCTTATCGTTTCCGGATCTTTTAATTTGGGTTTGCTGAAAGATCTTGGGACACATTGTTTCTTACGACTTGTCAATTTTATACGAATCTTGGCTCGAACCATAACATCCATGATCTGATCCAATTACCAGTTTTAGCGTCCCGATAAGAACGAGTACAGAACTCTTCCAGCGGTGACTGATCAATATATAGTCAGACTGATTGGAATATTGGTTGTCCGGAGAATTCCAGATTAGATGTTTCGTTCAATGCCGAAAGCATGTATTAGCAATAAAGAGTTCATGCTGTTCGGCAAAACAAATAAGACGTTCTCCATTGGCGCACTGGGCTCCGATGCCATATTTGCCAATCACCAAGTTTATTGTAACGGCATCACGATTTACGCGTGCATTCCAGTCTCCCTCGATTATGACCATGTCACCTCTTGATAGAGATTTTCCACTTTAATATTGTATATTTAAGTATCATTTTTAATTATCTCCACATTTTGACTTTTCTTGTAGAAGTAACTAAATATTTTTACTAATTTTGTGAATTTTGTTTTTTAGAACCTAATTTTTTTTTTAATCAATTTTTTTAGATTTTCGTTGAATGAAGCTATGGTCAATCAACGTGGTGAAATATCTGATCCAATAATATCAAGTGCTTCACCTCGTCATGCGTCATCTTTTCATGTTCATGTAAATTCAGAAAGTCATCTCAATTATGCTCGACTTTTACAATATAATGCATGCTATGAAGCAATGCCAGCAAGCTCAAAATTAGTTATATTTGACACTGAACTACATCTTAGAAAAGCTTTCAATGGATTAATTTATCAAAGTATGTGCAAACTCTTTTCACTGTAGTATGTAATGCAATATTTTTAAATCAAATATTTTCGCAAAATAATTATCGTTGGTCTGAATAGCAAGTAATTTTTTCTTTATTTTTTCATACATTTTTATCTTCAACTGACCCTCTGGCGAAAGTTTCTTATCCTAACAGCCAGTTGGGAGAATCTAACTAGAAATTGTGAATGTTATTAGAAGAAATTTTTTAGGAATGAGTTGAAAAAATAAGGATTATATATTTAAAAAAAAGTATTTTGAATCATTTTACACTGCGATACAGGCTGATATTTACAGATACACGTCATGTGCTGTTATCAGAATCAGAGTTTGATGGCAGTATTGTTGGTATTCTTTCCGTTACAGACTTTATACGAGTATTACTTCGCCTGTATAAGTAATTATATATTTTTTGAAGTTTATGCATATTAATTTGAAGAATGTTAAAAACCTCATATTTTGAGTTAAAAAGATGGTATAAGAGATATTATGAAATTTTTCAATAAATCATTTCACTCTAAGATAGGAAGAAATTTTATGTAATTTCGAAATTTCCACAAAATGGTTATCGTTGATCTTAATAGCAAATAATCCTAAGCTTCCACAGTTACTTTTACCTTGTATTACCATAACATTATAATGTTAAGGAAATGATTTTTGAATCCCCCGAAAAAGCCTTGAGAATCCCTAGACGTTGCGTTTAGTATCATTTTGAGATCTAGAGAAGGCAAGGAAAGAACTGACAAATTGCACAAATTGAAAAATAAAATTACGAGAGAATAGAAGAAAGCTTTGGTTTTATTCCAGAATAAAAGAATCTCATTGGCCACATAGTTTGATTCCAATAATATTACAGCAATCGCAAATCCATAGAAAGTCCTGACAAAGGTTGTTCCAACCAAAGCGATCTGACAAAAGTTGCATATGTGGATATTTCATCTGATTCACATGATAACGAAGATTTTTTAGCATCAGATATATCAGATTCTTTTGATTTTGAGGATATTGGAAAATTTACTATTAAGCAGTATCGTGGTATATTCTTTTATTTATTGAACGTTGTATATAGAATAAATAGATAGATTCAATAGCAAATATGGATTCTGTGCGTTAACTGTGCTGAAATAATGTGAAAAAATTGCACAAAAAGTGTTTTTAAATTAATTTTCCTAGAAGCAGTGCGTTAATGTTTTAATGGCAGCATGACTGCCACCGACGCACCAGGTTTCGTCGAACGAGAATTTTGCGAATGACGAAAGCAGAATAGTATAGAATGGCTCAGTCGGTTGTTGCTCACTTCAGAGCACTAATACCGAAGTTCCCGGGACTAAACCTGCCCAAAAATCAGATGCTGGCAATTTACCTTTGCTTCTATCGCCAACTGGCTCCATATCAAAATTTGTCTGGTCCCTAGCTAGCGGAGTGAGCCTAACCAAAAATGGTGCGAGCTCTTTGATTAAAAAATTTCTGCAATTAATTTTTGCTAATTTTTAGTAATTTTTAGTAATTTCGCTTAATATTTTGTTTTTTGCTAATTATTACCAATTGTTTTTAGGATTAATCCAAAAAGAGAAAAATATAATTGATCTTGTATCTGTAAACGCTGAGGACAGGTAATTCATCAACATTTTTGTTAATTTTTCGGGGTAATAAATTTAATGTAAAATTAATGATAAGAATGTGAATACCAAAGGCGAAAGTAAGGAAATATAAATGGCAATACTTAATTTTTTAATGAAAGGATATTTGAGTGGCTCAGATTATGGTGTTGAGAGGCAAAGATTTAGAGGCTCCTTGTTAGAAATAAACCTGTTATTGAAGGGCAAAAATTTTTAATCATATTGACAGCCAGTGGAACTAACCTACAAAAATGGTGAATCTAGTCACTTTTTACTCTTGTAGTGAAAATTTTACAGTGAATAATTATAAAATAATTGAATAAACTTTTTGTTTTTTCAGCTTATTGAAAGCTGCTCGACTTTTAAGTACTCATCGGATTCACCGACTACCAGTTATGGATCCAAAAACCGGTTGCCCATTATTTATTCTCACTCATAAAAGAATACTCAAATTCATGTGGCTCTTTGTAAGTTTTTAAAAACTTTCTGCATGAAGAAATCTTCTAACAGTTTTCATCATTACAATCGGACTGGGTCTGTTGGTGCTGGCTACATGGATAAGATCTTTCTTAGTTCTTCGATCTGATGCGATCGCTGATAGTAATGGAACCCATTACTTTTCCATCTGTAAATCCATATATCGCTCGCTATTCCACCTATACGTTCTTCCTGGCTATACCAGTCCAGGCCTTGATTAATCCTCCTTGCTTTTGACGCCATCCATCATAAGGTTTAACAACTAAGAAATACTGCTGTGTCAACTGCTGTAGTAAGCGACAAAGGTTCTTTGTACCTTAACGTATCTTAACCAGCGAAGGTCCCTCGATCGTACTGCTAATGCAGGTAATATTTGAGCTAAAGTAAATGCAATCATATGAAATTCTATCCGCTTGCCAAACCATTTAGATATAAATGGTCAAGGGTCGATAACTTAATATACTACGTTCTCATTGGCCATATGTCACATATATAACAGAAGTAAATTATAGCTATATAGATGCGAACTTTCGTTTTAATGGTGATTTGGCGACGACTGCATAAAGGTATCCTTAAGTGGAAGAATGCATTTCCAGCTACATTTATCAAGATTAGAGTGGATATTTAAAGTTTGATATATTTCCTTAACCGGCGATGAATTGAAGTTGATAAAAATAGGTATTTTATCAGCTTCTTGTATATAAGACGAAAAGATTTTCGTTTCATTTACATCCTGAGTCCGATTGTCGCTGCAATAGTCGACAAATTATTTACATTATTTGCATTTCTATAATTGTCAGCAAAAAGGGTTTATCAGCGTATTAAAGATCTATGATCTGGACTGATTTATACGCCTCTTGAGTGCCGACAAGCCTTGTCCAGTCTAGTTGTCTAGTTGAATATTGTACGGAAAAGAGATGCAGTCTTGACGGATATTAGTTTATTTCGAAACTATCAGTTCCCTATATGCACAGGCCTGTCCAAGGTATGCTATTAAATGCCTTTATGAGTCGAATGTTCTACGGAACAGCATCACAGTTTATCACCATTCAAAATGTTGCTCTATCAACCGAATCGAAGACAGCAGCAAAATCGATGAAACAAGTGACGGTGGTTGCCGATATTTCAAAATATGTTAACTCTTCTTAAGTTGAATTGTGGTTAGCACAACCGCGTCCTGATTTAGTTAGGGCTCATTCTCATTCTCCTTTCTTGCTGCCATAAGTCTATTCATTAGAGGAAAAGCAAAAAGCAAAAATTTTCCCAGAGACGTCTAGTAGGCTGATTCCTCGGTAATTGTCATGGTAGCCTGCAGCCCTGCTTTGCTGCTATTATTATTATCTGCTATTATTTTTTCTTCTATACCAGAGAGAACATTTGTTGAAGGTGTGATATGAAGGACAATGGACAATTCCAAAGGTTTTATTGACCTTAAGCTCTGTATAGATTATTTCTTGCTTTATTGATGTTATATTTATTTATATTTAAAATATTTATGTGTTCTGCCGGCGATCGGCTGTGGCTTGTTGATGAGCAGATTAACTGTGTCTGAGTACAAAATACAATATGACGCATCGTGGTTAAGTTTGGCTTCCTTCTATCTTATGAGACGGTCTTTAATAGCCTTAATAGACATGCCGGAATAGTTATCCCATGTTATTCAACTGAGTTATAGTTGAAAAAGATGGAATAGTTTCCTATTATCACCTATTTCTGCTACCGTATATATTACCATCTGAACCATATAACTCCAGTAGCTATTTCTGTTATAGCTATTTCTACCGTTGTGCTGCGATTATAATTCTTGTTATAATTCTTGCGATTGTAATTCTTCGAAACATCCTATAGTCATGGACAATTGGGCAGTCGAACAATTGCTTCCGACACACAACTAGTGTATTTCCCGCTAGAATGTTCTAGTACGAAAGTGGCTGACTTTCGGAGACGTGCCCTTAATTGGGAACAATATATTTCTGCCGTTCTAGAGATCGCTAAGTTACTTCAATTCGATTTGTGCACTTACTCTCTCCGAATCTTTTAGTTCAAGATAATTAAAAGGTCTTGGAAAAAGTTATTTCTTGTGAATTGCCGATTTTATGCAAATCTTGGCTCGAACCATAATATGATTTGATCCATGAAAACTACTAGTTTCAGCGCCGCGGTCCCATTTCTAGTTCGGAATTCTCCAATGATGACTGACTAAAATATAATCAGTTTTATTGAAGTGTGGCTGTTCGGAGAATTCTACTTGATGACTAGATGTTTTCTTCGATGCTAGTAGCATGTATTTATGATAAAAAATTGAGGCTTTTCGGCAAAACGAATCTCCATTGGTGCACCGGACATCGATGCAACGTTTACCGAGTTCATCGATGGGCATCATGATCTACGTGTTCACCTACGCATGATTCCTACGATTATGAACATGTCACCTTTCAGATGTTAGATTATAGATTTAGCACTTAAACTGTGAAGAAATTATCTCAACCCTTATCGCGGTCATATGCACATAAAGTTATAGCATATATACTGATGACCGAAGAATTTTCCCTTGAAGCAAGCATAGGTCATTCACTGGCTTTCATTCAATCAATGCTAAACTTTTTAGACATAATTTCACCCTAAGTTATTCGAAACACCACTGTAATATAGCCAGTATTTCTGGTCGGAGCCAGGTTTACCAATTGTTTGAGACTCGAAATGAGCAAGACAAAATGGTAGGCGGCATCCACACGATATTTAGAGTGTGGACAAATCTCTTTGTAACGTCCATAAGCGTTCTGATGTTCCACGCTGCTATGGTTAACACATCATGGCGTGTTAGAGAGTTTCCTTTAACGGATTTCATGCAATTACTTTGACCATTTCATGCTCAAACTTTCGGTTTTACTATACTATGGCCGGATTGCATATTTTTCTCATATTTTGTATTCTATTTTATTTAAAATGCATGGGAGAAAATTCTTTCAATCTAATTTCTATCGAAGCTTTCTCGATAAATTATTCCAACAAATTTAATTTTTTATTCGACTTTATAGAGAGTTGTTTTATTTTATTTCGTAGTGACATGTCCAGCTAGCTGTTAAATTTTGCTGCACCACCTTATTTATTTTTTATTAATTTAGGGTCAGTCGTTATCTCTTCCAGATTATCATTTTAAATCATGCAAGCAGCTTGGTATTGGTACTTGGTGTGGCATTCGCGTGGTAAATATTTTCTATTTCATTATTTCACTCTAATATATAAGTATATATTTTCTAGTGCATTGCGAATTAATTTTTACTGGATTTTAGGTATTTCCTGACACAGCATTAGTCGAATGTTTAGATATATTGCTTAATAAAGGTGTCAGTGGTTTACCAGTTGTAGAACATAATACGTTTAAAGTAATTGACATGTATTCTCGTTTTGATGCCATCGGCATCGCTCTCGAGGACAAGATCAATCATTTGGATGTCACTGTTGCTGAAGCTTTAGCCTTTCGAAATACAATACGAGTAACATATTTTTATATAATTTTAAACTTTATCTTATTTTTTATGAATTTAATGCATAGGTTAATTTTAGAAAAATTTCAGGATGAACGAAACCGTGTGGTTTCTATAAATCACAAAGATTGTTTATGGAAGGCTCTAACAGTACTTGTTGAACGAAATGTTCATCGTCTAGTTGCTGTAGATGATAGTGGAATTATTCAGGTGCTTTTTATTTTTATCTTCAAATTTCTTTAGAATTGTGAGGGATAAAGAGCAAATTTCCGATGGTCGTACATTTTGGTTTAATGGCGATAAAATTTTTTAAGTCAATTTATAAGTCATACGAAAATATAATAAGGATTGTTATGGGTTTCCTAAAAGGTAAGCATATTGCGATGTTAATTTTTATATAACTAACTGTTTACTTTGTTTGCATGCGTTACCCTCCTTATTGATTGGGCTTTTTTATTATTTTCTATTTAGCATCTTTTTTCAGGGTTTAATTTCTCTGTCCGATGTAATGAATTATATGGTCATCACACCAGGTGAAAATTTAGAAGCTTCAAGCCCATATTTGCGCAGATGTGCAAAACAAAATTCGTAAGTTTTAAATTATTTTTTCCGTTCTTTCTTCTTGAGATTTCAGTTTATTTATATTTTATTTAGGATTTAAGATGGAGAAATCTATAAAGGTTTCACCGTGAAAGGCTTCACTTCTCAGAAATCACTTCACTTGATAGTTCTTTGGATAAATGCTTCACCAATTATCAATTTTTTATTTTTTTTCTTTCGTATCGTATAGTATCGTTGTTCATCTTTCTTTTGAGGATTTTTTTCGATTTGCTCATTTTTTTGTAAAAATGCTCCTTAATGCTTTAAGATTTGTAGTCTATTTCGGTTTATTTTTTTTCTGACATCCATCTGCTTTTTTGCTTATCTTATCGAGTGGAAAAATGGAAGGAAGCATTATAAAAATTTAATATTAAAACATGTATTGAATGATGAATTCTAGCCTCACGGTGTTGCACGAAGGCGCTGAGTTGACAATGAATTGCGCTTGCATCAAACCTGGTGGCCATCATTCGATGTATCACATATAGTATCAATTTTTTGGCTTGCTTCTCTCTGGCTTAATGTGTTTTTTTATAAAGTTTTGGTTCGATTTTCATCACTTTCTTCTGTTCTTTTGGTTTGACAAAAAAAAATATTGGTTACTCGCAACTTACATAGGAAATATTTTGCTTGTTTGTCGAAATATTTGTTTGCTACTAAAAAAAAAATAAAGGTAGAAATGAGAAATTATGTTATGCTTCATAATTTTTAATTACATTTTTTTTAATAATTTTCCCACATATTTATAAATTTCTTGTTATCCCGCCATATTAAAAATCTACATAACATATCGATCATTAAAATTTTATCCAAAAATTTTATAAGATATATTAAATGATTGGGCAACCAGTGAAATAGAAAATCATTGGTAAACTTGCCATTTGCTTTATAGTGTCTTTTCATCGTATTAGATCATATTTTTTGGATAAAGTAATCACGTAAATCACCACATTCGCAATAGTTTTTCATTTCGCATGCTTCTAGAATTAAATGAATTATTCTTTATTTCTTCTATCTATATTTTGGATAACATTAGATAGCGTTAATTTTTTTTAAAGAGTCCTCACCATTACTGGTTAAACTCACTTCACTGACTTGTCACATTGCAATATGCCAGGGAGTTCCTTGGTGATAAAAATACAGATGAGTCTCCACCATCACCCAGTTAGTATTAATAACCATCAGTAACCAAATTTAAAAAGAAAATAAGGGAAGAATTTTAAGAAATTTGAAGAGAAAAGGTCAAAAGATTTCTCCAGCTGTTTTTTTACTTTTTTAGTATGCATCATTTGTTAGCTTGATATGAATCGACCCACTCATTTATTCAAGAGATTAAACTACTATTCTAAAATCTGAGTGCTGTGTCAATTTCAGTTGTTGAACTTAGCTGGTTGGTGAAGTATTTATTTTAAAACTTTATTAAGTTTAATTTAATTTATTAAGTTTAACTTTACTTAAGTTAAACTTTATTAAACTTAAACTAAACTTTAAGCTTCAACTCTATTTATTTATTTATTTTATTTATTTTAACTTTATTAACTTTACTTCTAGCTTTATCAAACTTTACTTTATTAACTTAAATTTTTAACTTTATTAACTTCATTTATTTTATTTAGTTTTTAATATTTTATATTTATTTTATATTTATTATTTTAAGTATTTATTTTACTATCTTTTTATCTTGCTAGACATAAAATATATTTTTTGAAATTCATTTATTCAAATAAAATCACAAAATATTTCTTTTTAAATTTATATTTTTATTTTTATATTTTACATTTATTTTATATTTCTGCGTTTTCTTCGTAGCTTGGCAATGTTAAATATAATTTTTAAGTGATTTCTGCGTTGTGGTTGCAACTTCATTTTTAATTTCTTTGTCTTAATAGGTGATTATTTTATTTATTTTTGCTTTTATATATATTTTTTGCTTTCAGTGGCATGAATTATAGATTTCATGATTATGATTTCAGATTAAATTTTTCATTTTAGATTAAACAATATAGTTGACTACAGGCAAGTTGCCACTCGGTTAGAAGAAAGTGCTGCCTTGTTGGAACAACAAGCTACAGGTCAAATAAATAAACAACTCGCTGCCTTTTCTATCAACTAAAATGAATAATCGATATGGAATTATTGTTTTTATCCGAGAATTTTTAATTTTTTCGCGAATTATTATTAGTTTTATGCTTTTTTTTAGATGCAGTCTTGTAAAGCAAAAATTTAAATTTGTCATTATCCTTGTACTGACCTGTATTTCTAAGTGTCTCTTTGGCAAAAAGGTCTTAAATTAAGTAAAGTTTTCTGGGAAAAGGTATTAAAGGTATAGGTAGAAAATTTGAAGCCAAGCCAGAAATAGTAGATGCCGTTAAAAAAAGTTCTTGTAATAGAATTGGTAAAATTTTTATCATTCATATCATTTTACCAATTCATTTTGTCGAATTCTTTATAATGAGATGTATTTTATTCTTACCATATTCTACCTATAATATTGGTAATTATTCTACAGGTATGAAATTTTTATTTATATACGCTTAAGTTGTTTTTATAGCATCACTTAACTCTTGATTTCGTAAAAAAATTGAAGAGTCGAGTCTCATTCGCGAGAATGTTAAGTTCGGAACTACCCGATCCCAGTTTTAAATTTAGGTTTGTTAATTGTAATCTTCATTTTTCATATTTATTGATGCTATTTTCTATATATATATATATATATATATATATATTGTATCGATTTTAAACAAATTTTTGAAAATTTCCATGCCAAAAAATTTTTTCACTCGTGCTTTTTTTAATATTTAAAAATGATTTATTAATGAAAACAGTCGGGATTTGATGAATGAAAATTTAAAATTCGTCAAAAATTTTCGTTTTCATTGCGGCATAATTTAATATTGCTGTAATAATTTATGTAAGAATATTGTATCTTAAAATTATGAAACTAAATGCCTTTTTAAAATGATTAAATTTGATCTTAAATAACAAAAAAATTTTGATTATTTAAATGTACTATTACTACCTTAGTAATAATAACCACTGGATGAATTTTTTATAGCTCATTGGCCTTAAATTATTTGCATACCAATTTTTGATTTATCTTCTGCTGACTGCTTCTTTGTTCTTAAATTAAAATGATCAGTTTGTCAAATTGAATTTCTTCTATTACTAGTGGTGAAAAAAATTGAGAAATTTATATTTAAGCCATAAAAAACTGATTACTTCTTCAATCTCAAAATTATATGAACACGATATGTGAAAAAAAAGAAAAAAATAGTTTATTTTCGGTAAATTTGAAGTGCAAAAGTGACGTTATTGGGAAGTGACGTTAAATATCAGCAACTATCAGCAAGTTATGGATGAATTTTTTTTGGTTTTTTTTATTGAAATAATGGTCGAATAGCTTGTTGTTTCGATTAAGATCAAGCATCTTTGATTACTAAATTGATTACTAGACGTTGAGAAACATGTACATATCAGCGGTCCGTATGATGCTGAGTGTATGATATGTTTATCTCTTTGACTTGTAGTATTGTCCTAGTAGTCAACTGGACCAGTCAAACAAAAAATGGTGAATATTATGAAGACTTTTTAATATGTAATATATTTCTTAAGCACCCTTATTATATTAATAAAAAATTTAATATTGTGATTTCAACAAAAACATTTTATACTTTATTCTATGAAATTTGAAATTTTTATTGGCTATCTAATCATTGCCTAGATTATCATTTTTATTCAGCATCATTCAGTCTTGCCATTGACAAGAATAAGTAAATCTATCAAAAAAACAGAGCTGCGCTGGAGTATTTCTATCTCCCCAAGCTGTACAAAATTATTTTTGTTTGTTAATACCCAATAAAGAAACCATGACAACCTGGAGTGCTAATCATTATTAACGTAGTATTCAGGATTAAATAAGGCTGTTATATCTATCATTAATATGCATATGCATTTGTTTGGTTGAACGCCGTTGCCAAGCACATTTCTTCTCAAATGTTACCTCCGATTAAAATAAAAATTTTAATCCTTGGACCTCTAAAGGTTAATTTATATTTTAGCATCAGTTACCAGTAAATGTAAAAAAGAAGATATTTTTAGTCATAAGTAGTTATTAGTTAATAGTATTAAACATTTTAGACCTTATAATTATTAAAACTTATTTTTATTTTCATTAAAATTATTAAGACATATTAATGTGTTTGCACTTGGGAATTGAAATTTAGATGGGCACTGCTTTGTCCTTACTTTTAATATTCCAACATATGTTTATTCCAACAGATGTTTTTATTGGAACTATTTTGTGGTTATTTTTATAAACATTCAGATCTCCAAAAATTTGTGTTATGAGAGAAACTGTGAAGGGAAAAAAAATTTTACATTGCAGAGCGGCAAAACTACAATATCAAATTATTTGGCCGATTCGAATGACATAAGCATCCAAGAATATCGTCCTACTCAAGGTTTTTTGAAATTTTTTTCCAAAAATGTACTTTTTTATGCCATTTTATGACTTTGGCTGAGAATCATTTTATTTTAATATCAATTCTTTTGGGTAAGTAAAAAGATAAGATATATTGCAAAATTGCAGTGAGTTTGCAGTTTATACAAATTTTCATCATTATCAGTGACCATTTTTCCATTATTAGTCGTTTTTTTTCTAGAAACGCTCACTATTTCTGGCTAGACTTTGCTGATTTGTCAAACCGAAAAAATTTTGCAGGGGAATCATTTGGGGATAGAACTATATGTGAGTAGTATTACCTGAATTTTTGGAAGATAGGTTTATTTCTGCCGAAATTACCGGCGCTCCGAAGTGGAAGCAACAACCACTGAGCCATTTTACTTGTTTTCGATGCTTTAATAATTTTTATTAAAAAAATGTACTTTTAAGTATAAATATATAGATATTAATTACTTAGGCGTTATCTGCATATATTTAGGAATATATTTTAATATAATTATGATTAATTACTTAATTTTATTAATGTTCTATAAATCAAGCCTTTTCGCGATTTTCTTCTCCTTATATTGCATTTTATAAATTGTAATTTTCCAATATTTTTTTTTTAAATTTGAGGAGTACGTATCGTTGAGTTCGAAAGTAATGAATTAGAGCTAAATGGAGAACGTATAGATGCTGAAGTTGAACTTTGGGACTGCAGTGGCGATCAACGATTTGAAAAATGTTGGCCTGCCATTAAGCGAGATTCGAAGGGTGTTATACTTGTTTGCAGACTTGGTAAAGATGCCGGACAATCTCTCATACCTTGGTGGGTTTAGAGATTATTAATCGTTCACAAATCATTTTTTACTTGCATGTTTTTAATAAATGGATGGATTCATCAATGAATTCTCCTATACACCTTAGATTTTTCGAGTTTGTCTTGTTTCCTTTGGGTGAATATTTTTTTCTGGTTATTTTTTAAAATGATTTAAATAAAAAAATTCACCCTTTCATATTAATTCGATTTCTTCATACGCATTCTATTATATTCAATTTTATTAACTAGCAACTAGCATGGCGCAAAAATTAGGGATTTATTTTGCATTCATGCAGGAGATCACATTCTTTTTGTAAAAAAATTTTTGAAGAATCATTTCTAGTTTAGTTGGCTCCACTAACTATTGAGATGAACTGATTGTAGAAAGCATATGTAGGTTTCCAGCACCCATCTGGATTCCACTTTTAATGACAGGGAAAGAGATCGATACGATAATCTGATACGATTGAAGCGCCATATCATTTGACTATTTTATTTATGTTCAAAAATCGGTTAGATTATCTTTGAAGTTCAGCCTTTATTTCTTGCAATTTTCAGGTACTCTGAATTTGTTGAGCGCTGCACAATGAATCCGATGCATGTTATCGTCTTTCTTCATCGACCTACTGAAAAAAGTAATGAAAATACGATTTCAGCGTTTCGTTTACCTCTTTCAATGAGTGGTCTTTCTGTTGTTCCATGGAATATTGACCAAGATGGCGAACATCTGCGGCTTGAATTCAACAGCTTTCTTTGTAAAGTAATTTCTGATATGAAATTTACTAATGCCACTTGATTGCTTTCAGTGATAAAGGTTTATGTTCATTGATCTATTTGTCCTTCTTTTCTCTCGTCATTCATTTTTTTAGGAAGATCATATATAATTTAATCTACACAAGTACATCAAAATTCTTACAAATCATCGATTTCACTAACACCAGAATATCAAATCAATTTTGCAATTACTTCTTTTATTCATTTATTCAGCTTCACTAATGAGTCAGGTTTACTCAGGTTTCTGCCAACTTTTATTAAGTAAGTAGCACTATTGGTTACGCTAGATCTGCCGGATCTGTTAATACAGTTAAAAATTTTTGCCAAGAAGCCATTTGGCGATAGAAATATAAGCAACTTACCAGTATCATCAGGATTTTTAATGACAGGTTTTTCCTCTCTTGTCGGAGGAGAACTTGCTTTTCAGCTCAATAATCTGCTCTTCATTCGAGCCATCATACTCTTTTCCATTTATTATAGCACAAGAAGTTTCAAGGATATGAATTCATGCAAATCAGTGGCAATGAAAATCAGTGTCTAGGACTCATTTCTTTATATTCATTTATCATTTAATCATTATATCTAAACTCTTCATTTTGTCTTCAATTATTCATTTTTGCAAAATAATAATCTCTTTAACCTGTTTATTCGGTTGGATGATAAAAAAATGGTATCGACTAATCTTATTGTTAATAGCTATGAACCAGTGATATAAAATTCGATAAAGAAATATAGAAATAAATTGTTTGATAGAAGATGGATAGAAAAAACATATCGATGTGGAAAAGAAATTCAAAGGGAGGATTTGAACAAGGGCATTTACCATAACTCCTAGTACCACATTTCGTGCTTCTAATACGCAATAAATTCAAGAACTCACTTTGAGCAAATTGGCCAAAAAACTTTAAGTACAACTTTAAGTAATTTGTAATGGAAATTCAAGATTTATCGAAGATGATCACAAAATACATATTAATTAAAAAAGTAAAAAGGTGACAAACTTATTCTATTCTTTAAAATTTGGCAACAATAATAATATCGTGTAATTTTTTCTTTCCTTGAGCGACTTCAAGCAAAACCATGCTATTTAAATCCTTAGACTAGATTTTTTTACCTAATTCCTTGATTTGAGCAATATCTTATTTTAAAAAGAAATTAGATAGTTATTATAAAAAAAAACTGCGCTATTTTCCAATTTTTCTTAGAATTCCCTGCGATATGCGATTGATTTTAGTTTAGAATCGATCCAAGCTCTCCAAAAACCTTTTCATCTCCAGCTGATGCTACATTTAAACATTTCAGTGAATATTTCGTTAGTTGGTTGCTAACAACAAATCATTTAGGCTTTTATGCTCTTCTCGGCAAATTGCCGAAAAATATGATTTTATACTTTCCACTGTCACCACTAATTTTGACCCTGAAAATCTTAACAGCGAAGAACTCGATTTATCGCTTTTTCTTCTAATTTTTTCTACTTTTGCGATGTTTTTGGGTCATAGATCTCGTTAAAAAATCCTAGACTAAATATATTGGTTAGATAATTTAATAAAATTTATTTATAGTAATGAGAGAAATAGTACATATACAGGCTGGACAATGCGGAAACCAAATTGGTGCCAAGGTACCCTTTTTTGATTTGATTTTGGGCATCCTGTAATTATGCTAATTTGTATAAGTTGCTAGAATAAATAAGGATTTCAAAATAAGAATTCAATATATTTTACTACAGTTTTGGGAAGTGATATCCGACGAGCATGGCATTGATCCAACTGGAACGTATAATGGAGATTCAGACTTACAACTTGAAAGAATTAATGTTTATTACAATGAAGCAAGTGGTAAGTATGTCTAAATTCAGTGGCAAAATGTGCTTTGAATATTAAATATTTCAGGCGGAAAATATGTTCCAAGAGCTTGTCTCGTTGATTTGGAACCGGGAACAATGGACTCAGTGCGAGCAGGTCCCTTTGGACAATTATTCAGGCCGGACAATTTTGTTTTTGGTTATTTCAATATCATTTTTAAGAATAATTTCTTATTCTTGCTATTTATAAATCTCTATTTTTATTCGCATAACAAATAATTCGATATTTCCCATATTTCCCATATTTGGAAATCCCATGCACTACTCAGGGCCCACATCGCTTGTACTTTTATCGCTATATAAGTCTCTATGTGGTGTAAATTGCATACGATGGTCATAAATGCCCGCAAACTAGAAATAAGCTTAGAAGAAAAATATTCTTATATTATCACAGCTTCTTTCATATTTAATCTATAATTGTTTCGTTAAAATTGCCTCAAATTTGCGGAAAATTTCTTATGAAGGAATCTTCCAGGTCAAAGTGGAGCTGGCAATTGCTGGGCTAAAGGCCATTATACAGAAGGAGCAGAGCTTGTTGATAACGTTTTAGATGTCATTAGAAAAGAAGCTGAATCTTGCGACTGCTTACAGGTTCTTTTTGAATAGTTTCTTATTAGCAAAATATGAATAAATGAAATTTTTTGCACGCATAAATTAGGTTTAAAATTAAAAACAGCTCCAAGCTAACAGGAAATCAAAAAGGTATAAAGTCCTGCAATCTGGGGAAATTCCCAACTTCACTTTCCTTCACCATTCTTCCTTTTCTAATAGTTTTCACAGTTATTGGTTACGTTAGCTCCACTGACTACAGAGGTAAGGCGTAAATATATCACTTTTTCAATCCCTAAATCCATATATCGCTAATCCACATATACATTCAAAATTTTTCCTGAGTTTATCTATCTAAGCTTTGATTGGCCCATTTCGTTTTTGACACCATCCACCACAGGCTTAGCGAAATATATATCAACTTCTGGTGTGCGACAAAGAACAAGCGAAAGCGACGATATGATGGTACTGTTAATTCAGGTGATATTTGAGGTATTTGAAGATAGATGAAATATGCGATTCTATCTGCTTGGCGAACCCGTAAAATTTTTCTCATTTCACATATGGCTCAATGAATGAATGAGTGTGTGTCGAAGACAACAGATGACACTCTACGGTTAAGTTTGGCCTCAAGAATTCTTTTCACTTTATGAGGCAATCCTTAATAGCTCTATGCACGCCATTGCTATTCCATATCATTTCATTGACCATTCGACCGAGTTATAGTTGCTTTACGAAAAAGGCGAAATAATTTCCTATTAGCGCATATTTGAGTCTACATTTTCATACCAATCCAATAGCGATTTTTGTCCTATACTGCTGTCGTTTAATTCTTTAAAGCATCCTACTGTCAAGATTTCCTGCTATTCTTGGCAGTCTTTTCGGACAATTGAACAGTTGCTTCCGATACCTAACTAGTGTATTTCCTATATATTCTAGTATGGAAATGGCTTACTTTTATGCCTTTAGTTAGAACAGTATTCATCTGCGGTTCTAGAGATCGCTAAGTTACTTCAATAATTCGATTTGTGCACTTACTATCTCCGAATCTTTTAGGTCAAGATAATTAAAAGGTCTTGGAAAAAGTTATTTCTTGTGAATTGCCAATTTTATGCAGACCTTGGCTCGAACCATAATATGACTTGATCCATGAAAACTACTAGTTTCAGCGCCGCGGTCCCATTTCTAGTTCGGAATTCTCCAATGATGACTGACTAAAATATAATCAGTTTTATTGAAGTGTGGCTGTTCGGAGAATTCTACTTGATGACTAGATGTTTTCTTCGATGCTAGTAGCATGTATTTATGATAAAAAATTGAGGCTTTTCGGCAAAACGAATCTCCATTGGTGCACCGGACATCGATGCAACGTTTACCGAGTTCATCGATGGGCATCATGATCTACGTGTTCACCTACGCATTTCACCATGATTCCCACGATTATGAACATATCACCTTTCAGATGTTAGATTATAGATTTAGCACTTAAACCGCGAAGAAATTATCTCAACCCTTATCGCGGTCATATGCACATAAAGTTATAGCATATATACTGATGACCGAAGAATTTTCCCTTGAAGCAAGCATAGGTCATTCACTGGCTTTCATTCAATCAATGCTAATCATAAGCTTTTTAGACATAATTTCACCCTAAGTTATTCGGAACACCACTGTAATATAGCAAGTCTTTCTGGTCGGAGTCAGGTTTACCAATTGTTTGAAACTCGAAATGAGGAAGACGAAATGGTAGGTGACATCCACACGGTATTTAGAAAGAGTGTGAACGCTCGGCTTCTAATTACATAATCACCATCATTCATAATTTATTTGATAATTACAGGGATTTCAAATGACACATTCGCTTGGAGGTGGAACTGGTTCCGGAATGGGGACATTGCTTATTTCGAAAATTCGTGAAGAATATCCTGATAGGATAATGAATACTTTTTCGGTTGTGCCATCGCCCAAGGTTGGTTGGTTTTGTTAGAAATTTTTTGGAGCCATCTAAAATAAATCAATATGAAAAAATCATTTTTAAGGTATCTGATACTGTAGTGGAACCTTATAATGCAACGCTTTCTGTGCATCAGCTAGTCGAGAACACTGACGAAACATTTTGCATTGATAACGAAGCTTTATACGACATTTGCTTCAGGTAACTCCAGATATTTCATTTTTTTACCAAAAAGAGTGGTTCTAATTCACTCATCATTTTATTTCATTTGGTAATTATTTTTCATTTGTCTATTATTTGATATTTCTGCAAATACTATGTTATGTTTTTAAATGCTTTTATATTATCCGCAAAAAGGAGAGAGAAGGAGAAGGAGGAGAAGGATTGAAGGAGTGGTAGATTGCTTCAAATAAGCCATCTTCGATTTCTTTTCATTAAGGAGACCTATTATTGAAGGTGAAGTATAGATGGTGCCCACCTATACTTTTATTACCAACTGATTCTCTGGCGAAAAAGTTTGATCCATTTAATAGCAGTCGAATAGTTCAAGTTCAAGCCAAGAATGCATATTCTATTATTGCCGCCATTAAAGGGCACAATACTATTATATAATTGGATGTATTAATTTTAAACGAATGAGCACAAAAATAAGAGAAAGAAATCTAGTAAAATCGATGAATGAAATTTCAATGAAATTATTTTAGGACGCTAAAACTGACAACTCCTACTTATGGTGATCTTAACCATTTGGTATCAATGACCATGTCTGGTGTGACGACTTGCTTACGTTTTCCTGGTCAAGTATGCTTTTTTATGATTTTTCTCTTGTTTTTTGCTTACTGTTTAAATTCACTTCAGTTGAATGCCGATCTTCGAAAATTGGCTGTGAATATGGTCCCGTTTCCGCGATTGCATTTTTTCATGCCTGGTTTTGCCCCATTAACCTCTCGTGGAAGTCAGCAATATAGGTCGCTCACCGTACCAGAATTGACCCAACAAATGTTTGATTCAAAAAATATGATGGCAGCATGTGACCCACGGCATGGTCGCTATCTTACAGTAGCTGCAATATTTCGCGGTCGAATGTCAATGAAAGTACTGCTAAATTTAAGTATATTTGTAAAAACTTAGCATTTCAAAATTATTTTTTATCGAACAATTTTCAAGTTTTATATACCGAAATATTAGTTCATTAGTTCAATGCCAATTGAGATGCAAGCTAGTCGAGTGAAAAGAGTGGACTGAATGCAATGGCAGGAGTAAACCTATAATTATAATTCGTCTCTAAAAATTTATAACAGCTTAACTAGAATTGCTGAACGCTAACCAGTTGCTTATTTACTTCAGCCAGTGATGATTTTATATTACTCAGTCTTAAATGGTTGAAAAATTAATTTAAGGAAGTAGATGAGCAGATGTTAAATGTGCAAAATAAAAATTCATCTTATTTCGTGGAGTGGATTCCAAATAATGTTAAGACTGCAGTTTGTGATATACCACCTAGGGGCGTTAAAATGGCTGCAACTTTTATCGGTAATTCGACTGCAATACAAGAACTTTTCAAGCGAGTTTCGGAACAGTTTACTGGTAAGACTTAAATATTACTCAGAAATCATGCCCTAATTTTTTTTTGAAAATATTCTGGTTGATATATCAATTGACCTAGTTGACCTAAACTTTTGGGTTGGCTAATCGTATAACTTTGATAAACATCAGAATCATCGTGATATTTCCATTATATTTTACTGCATTAAACTCTTTATTATAACCACAGCAATTTATTAATGAAAAAAATTAATAACTGGCAATTATATATTATATATTATATACTCATACAATCTTCAGTGCGACATCCTTTTTCGTTCAAAAAACTTTTTAAATGCAAAATTGGTTTGATAAATAATGCAATTTTTCGTTTCTCTTTCCTTATGTTGTGTTATACTTTGCTTTAAATTTGCTTTATGAGACGTGCTTTGTTTTTCTTTCTGGCCACTTTGAATTAAATTATTTAGAAAAATTGAGATGCTTATTTACCCACAAGTTTTTTGGTTTTTGCTGAAGCAGATTGTTTTTACTATTAGCTGCAGGGAACGGAATTTTTCCTTCTTATTAAAATTGATTTTGAGGTTTCTCTCTTTTATCTGAAAAAAAATAAAACAATAAAAATTAAAACTTATGAATAAGGAATAATTTAAGGTTAATAAAACAAGAGGATGCAACATGTAAGGAAAATGCAGTATATAAGGAAAATAATAAGAAAGGTATGAAGGAAAAAATGAAAAAAAAGGCTAAATTGAGGACAAATTTGTGCTAAATAATGTTGCAAATTACACTATTCAGTTTATTTTTAAAAGGGGGAAATATCTAAAGGCAAATTCCAATAGTGAAAATTTCCATTCCCGATTTTTAGTTAGATTCACTCTTTCAGCCAGCATCAATATTCCAAAAGCTTGGAACAAAAAAATTTTGAGATATCAATTTTGCATTCCCGCATCTTCAATCTATTACTCCTTGTATTTTAACAAGCGATTTTTTTTGCAAGTCCAGATCAATGGACAGCACCTTGAGAATGCAAATCAGATATTATTTGATTCTCTCAATCCTTAATGAATGCAATTTATACGATCCAAGTTTTTACTTGTAATTAACTGTAGGATCTGAGCATTCAACAAGCTCGAGTAGTTTTATTCTTTTATCTCTAGGAGAGGAGTATATGTTTTCTAAATGAAGACGAACTTATACATATTAATAAAAAATTTTTTTCGAAAGCAGCAAAAAACTAGCGCAAGATTCCAGATGTTTTTTGGCTATCATTTTATTTATTATGGAGATCAAACTAAGATTATTAACGTCTATCACACACCAAGATTTGAGATTACTGGCTCTAATTTTTTTTTAAAGAGTCCTCACCATTATTGGTTAAGCTCGCTCCACTGGCTTGTCGCAATGGGCAATATGCCAGGGATTCCCTTGGCGATTGAAATACAGGTGAGTCGCCAGAATCACCCGGATTTTTGTACAGGTTACTCCTGCGGAAAATACAATCTCGACATCGGCGCTCCCAATTGAGCAATAACCCACTGAGCCATTCTTCTCCCATTATCGGTTCCAATATTCTCGATGAAATCAGAATGGGGACCAAGCTGTAGAATTTCATATTTTTCAATAGATAGTTTAATTCGTTTATAACGAAACCAGCTAATCATATCATTAAAATTAGTCTGCAAGGCAAATAAGTCTGCCGCTTGAATAGCAAATTTTGTATTATCATAAAGATAAATGTTTGAATTAATTATTATTACGATAACAATATCATTAACAATATCATTTATATCATTTAATATATAGACGATGAACAATGAGGAACCTTCAACTATCTTGCGGCTCGTCCGCTCTAATAGGAAAGAATCCTGATAAAGAGTTAATACGAACCATTTAAAAACGATCATTTAAATAAGTAGAAATCCACTTGATCATTCCCACGAATCAATTTTCTTCAAAAAATTTCCATCGCTTCTGACTGCAAAATAGAATAAGATCATAAAATATTAAATAAGTTTTCATCCACTTATAATGAAATCCCTAGCTAAAATGTGGAGGGAAGGTTGAAATGAAGAATTTTCCCCTTTTTATCATATTCACTTTTCCGCTATGTTTCGCCGCAAAGCATTTTTGCATTGGTACACTGGTGAAGGAATGGACGAAATGGAATTCACTGAGGCGGAAAGTAATATGAATGACCTCATATCAGAATATCAGCAATATCAGGTCATTTACTTTACTATTATATATTGATTAACTTCTTTAATAATTTAATAATTTATATTTATTTATATTTATGACATCTCTGAAATTTTAGTTAATTTTAAAATAGCTCGTATGATTTGTCTTTATCAGATTCCCTGAAAGTTAAGTATTCCATCCGTAAGGTCCATGTTCATTATCATCTTCTTCTAACAGCTTTCACCATCACTGATTAGGATGGCTCCAACGGCTATAAGGGTAAGACGTTTCCAAGCGGCGCGGTCTGATGCCATCGTCGACAGTAATAGAAGCCATTCCTTTTTCCATCATCTAAGTCCATATATTGCTGGTCCACCTCTACTTTCAAAATCTTTCCTGGCTCTATCAGTCCAGATCTTGACTGGTTCTCCTTGCTTTTGGCACCAACCATCACAGGATTCGGCAAATAGCGAAATATGCGTCAATTCCTGTGGTGACCAAGAACGTGCTCTAACCAGCAAAGGCGACGCACTGTGATAAGATTATTAATACAGGTGGTGTTTGACCGAAAATGGATATAATCATGTGCAATTTTATCCACTTGACAGACTCTGAAAATTTAAATCCCTAGCTAAAATGTGGAGGGAAGGTTGAAGTGAAGAATTTTCCCCTTTTTATCATATTCATTTTTCTGCTATGTTTCGCCGCAAAGCATTTTTGCATTGGTGCACTGGTGAAGGAATGGACGAAATGGAATTCACTGAGGCGGAAAGTAATATGAATGACCTCATATCAGAATAACTTAGACAAGAGTGGTCAAAGGTAGATAACTTCTTAATGTCTTCCACTCTCATTGGCCATGTCTCAGGGCCATATAGCAAGATCGAACGAATTACAGCTATATAGACTTTCATTTTTATGGCGATTTCACGACGACTCCATAAAGGTTTCGTCAACCGGAAGAACTACTGTGATTTGGGATATAATATCGTCTTTTGCCTAGCCATTTGGTATTAGAGTGGACCCAAGGTATTTAAAATCCAGTACTTTCTCAACCGGGAATGAATTTATAAGAGCATTTATCAGTTTCCTGCACATAAGACGAAAAGGCTTTTGTTTTATTTACATTGATCCTGAGTTCGATTCTTGCTTCAGTTGCTGACACGTTATTTAGTATTACTTGCATTTCGTTATAACAAAAGCAAAAAGGACTACATCATCAGCGTATTCAAGATTTGTGATACGATGCTCTGGACTAATTCGGACATCTCTTGAGTGCCGACAAGCAATGTCCATTATCCAGTCTATCGCATAGTTGAATATTGTGGGAGAAAGAACGCAGCCCTGACGGACACCTGTTCTTATTTCGAAGGAATCTGTCAGCTCTCCATATACACAGACCTGAACCGACGTGCGCTCATAAAATGCCTTTATGAGTCTAATGATTTTCTCAGGAATACCGTCGCCTCCAAAGCGCCGCTCTATCACTTGAATCAAAGGCAGAGTCGATGAGGCTGCAAAGTCGATGAAACACGTGACAGTGGGTTGCAAATATTTGAAGCGATGTTCCAACATCCTTCTTAACGTGAATATCTGGTCAGCACAACCGCGCCCTGGTCTGAAACCAGCTTGATTAATGCGCATCCTGCTGTCTCGTACTTCCATAAGTCTGTTGAGTAGCAGGGAAGCAAAAATTTTTACTGAGACGTCTAATAGGCTGATTCCTCGATAATTGTCGCAACATGTCCTATCACCTTTCTTGAGAATTGGGAGCAGAATTGCTTTGCTTCAATCATCTGGTAATTTTTTTTTTTTCATACTAAAGAGTACATTTGTTAAAGGTGCCTTATGAAGGACAATGGACAGCATTTGAAAAGCTCAGCCCGAAGACCATCTTCTTCTGGAGTTTTGTTGGCCTTAGACTTATGGATCACTGAAATTATTTTTTCTTCGGTTGGAGGTTCGCAATTGCAAACGTATGCTTCGGCAAACGTATCAGCTATATCAGGTGCAACAGATGGCGCTTCATGGTTAAATTTGGCTTCAAAGAATTCTTTCCATCTTACAGGCGATCCTTAATACTTTTGATTAGTACGCCATTGCTGTCTCTTACCATTTCATTGATAGTTCCCCGAGTCATAGTTGCTTATGAAAAAGGCAGAATAGTTTCCTATTGTCGCCTAATAGAGCCGCCGCCTGCATTCTTGAGGCCATGTCACTCCAATAGAGATTTCTGTCCCGCCTTGCTGCTTTCGTTGCAAATCTTCGAAGCATCCGGTAGTCAGGATCACCTGACAT